GCTGGCATGTCCTTACATACGTTTAAGAGGAGTTATTGTATTGAGACTGTATAAATGGTATCTTCCCTGTATCTCTTTGAAATCGGCTTTCCTTGTTGAATGTCAGCAATTATAATGACTAAGTACACGTGCTACCGAAAAGATCCTGTGGGCGCTGAAAAATACTTCTAATGCACACCGCTACAGCAGCCGTAATGGAAATCATGTGGTCTCCTTACAGTCACACGTTTAGCCAAGTAACCAAGCACACTCGCTTACGTTCACACTCACGTCTAATTTTAATAATGCAATTATAACGTGCCTAAATCGCGCACTTTCACAAAACTAGAATGTGGTCTTTGCCAGTCTTCTCCGATGGGATAAAGCGCTTGGTCGAGCTTTCCTAAATGTACAACAGACCTTGGCAAGTAAGTAATATATAAAACTCCTATGAGTCGTACATGCTGTGTTAGCCGTGACCAACGCATGTTGTAACAATATTCTCAGCAAAACTTCACTGATCATTGACTTTATTTACGTGATACGTCACTTGCGTGTGCATACTTCCGCAACGGCTCCTCCGCGTGTTATTTGATTTCCCGCATGGCAGGTCATGTTAAAAACTGTTGTCGAATCCCGACAGAAGAAGACAGAATACATGGTAAAGCATAAATGACAACTTTCAGCTTACTACGTTGTAATAGGACAAAATAAAATGTGCACACATCATGAATCACGTTGACCAAACCGTCGATGTTCATCGCCAGCGAGACATGTGGCCCACCGAGCGTGCACTCCGTGTTATGTACAGGACCGTTCGATAGAAGTTTAGCTGTGACGACGCCCTCCCTTCCGGTCAACGACCCTTCCTGCGAGGGCTCAACCCTTTAAAAGAAACCCGAGGTTCGCACCCCCTTCTGCACCCCATTCCGTTTGGACACAACCGCGGCTCTCCCACTATACGCTACAGCGCTGTCCCAGAGCTGCGAACCCCACTGCGACGTACGACTCCGGTCGTGTCCCGTTCCAGTCTTAGTCTTTTCTTTCGTGACTGCGTGCCGTAAAGCGCACACACATATCGACAGGGGGAGCTACGGGTGGTGAGACGTACGTGTGGGTGGCGTTATCAACCCACACGCGCGAAAAAACAAAAAAAAACAAGGAAAAGATGAGAAAGTGTGGTGGACGCGGGAAGTATGCCGATAGTGGACAGAACAAATATCACAAGCACACTGGGAAAAAAAAGTGTGCGCATGTGTGTGTGTTTGAGGGGGGTGGGGGGGCGGGGCAAAGGCGGAACGCACTGTCTGTATAGCGTGTAGAGAAAACGGACCGGTCCACGCGTTCCACAACAAAGCAGGGCGAGACGTCATCGGCAACACAAACTGCGGCGCGCAGACCGTGTTGCACGTATCTGTGCCGACCTCCCAGTTTCATGTATACGCTACGTACGCCCCAAATTCTGTTGTGTATACCTATACCGTGCACTCGGGTTGCACGGCACTCCAAAGAGAGTGCACTCTGGGTGTCTTCCAACCATTGTGCGGCTATAGTACGCAGTCGCTCGCTTAACGTTCTGTGCTTTGGTTTGCTTTGCTTTGTTTTGTCCTCGGTGCGCCATTCCATCTTTCTCTTTTTTTCTACTCGTCTCATGGCTGCAGTCCTCTCGACGCTCCGTCTCAGGTCGCCGCCAACGCCAGATATTTCCCGTGTCAATATTTGATCCCGAAATAAGATTACGTCCTGTTTGCTAGCGCGCGTGCGTTAAACGACGCCGGCACAGCTGTCAGATAGAGAAAAATAAAATAAAGTATCATGCTAAGATACTACTAATCATAAAAGAATAAGAACGCAGGACGAATCGGAACTCTGTAGTGTGCGAGCCTCTGCACCGAGTGCCCGGTTCGAGACAAAAGGCGCGCCACCGTATGGAAGAATGCGAGACAAATAACAGAATATGCGCGTGTTATGAAATAAAATATCTAGGGTCTAAGTAATGAAATACAGCGGGAGAGGAAGAGGGAGCAAAGAACGGGGCACGTGAAACATGTGAACGCGACGGCGTCAGTTGTCACGGGCACGGAACGCGGTCGGCACCCTTTCTCTGACGACGACCTGAAGTTCGCCATTCGCGAGCCACGCGGTATAATTAAACGGACGCCCGCAATCTCCTCGCAGTTCACTCCCAGAAATTAACGCCAGTCCCTGTCACGTCTCGTCTTTCTCTGCCTCGGTTTTCGTTTCGGTCCCTTTCCCCTTTAGTTTTACTTCGATGCGTTTGTTGTTTGCCGTAAGAATGACTCGAACCGGGAGCCACCGTCTGGAGCCCTTTGTTTATGTTGGTTTTCTAGAATGTTTTTTTTGTCTTTTTCTTTTCGCGCAATGAAGAAGCTCACACCTGCCAAGCTTCTCGCAAATGATAACACCCCGGTGCACTCGACTGATTCGCTGAAAAAAGAAAGGATATAGAACCGTATTTAATGTGCCGCGGATGATTAATTCTGAATTACCACTCTCAAGGAAGTCTGGCTTCGTACAATATACAACCTGCTGCATGATACGCCTCAGAAGCTCAAGCATTTTTATTATTACCTTTTTTTTGCGCACGAAACTGTCTTCGATTGGACGAGTGAGAACTGATGAGAAAACGATACGTTTTTTCTATTAATGAAGTAATACGCATCAAGTCTGTTGTGTATAAAAAAAATAAGAAAGAAATAAAACCTGTTCAGAGCAGAATTAAAATGAAACTCGAAGCAAAAATAAATTCATTTGAATCGTAAGCAATAGCTCCATTGTTACATTTATTGGCCGAAGTCTTGGAAACCTTTGATTAGTTCAGTGCATTGACAGCGGTTAGGAGAATAGATTTAGTAGTACTGTTGTCTTCGGGTGTATTTGAAGACAGGGGGCGTTGTAAAAAGAAATATAATTGACTTATACTCTGAAACTATCATGCCAAACAGGCATACAGTTTCTCGCAAAAATACCAATTTTGTGAGAGAGAGAGAGAGAGAAACTTTATGCACACAGGCAAACAGCGCGGGAGTCTCTTCATCAACCTGTTCATCTTCCTTCATTAGTATACAACAAAAGTACGCGCATCTCGTGCCGATCCTAGCAATGTGCCAACACTCGGCAATCCTGAAAAGCTTAACGTCCTCGTTAAAGCAATCTTGGCTAAGTTGCTCAGCTGATTTGCCATATAAGTGTTCGGCAATCCTCCTATTCAACTGCTTACTAAGTGGCACATGATAGGAGAAAGATGAACAAAAAAAAAGTAGAGAAACAATGCTCAACACTGACGCCCCAAACTCATCACGACACTGAAAAATTGGCCAGTTTGTAACTTTAAACTTTGAATAAAAGCCATATCTTCCGGCCGTCTTGACGGGCTTGACGATGCGGAAAGCCGCAAGAAATAATGAAAAAATAAGAACTCAAAACTTCGGTCGTTATTAGAACTTAGAACGATGAAGTTTTTCAAACACACTGGCAGACAAACAATATCACGACACGTAGTCTCAGAGCATGGCTGGTTCTATCCGTTCTGAAAATGTTGTCTTCGTGGCGTCCTTGAAGACACGAGACGCTGCAAAAAAAAAAAAAAAAATCACAGCATATCCACGGAGTGCATGAGGATGAGTGGGGCGAAGCTCATCCGTCCTTTGATTCTTGCTTCCGTCCGTCCGAGCGTCCGTCTGTGTGAGCGTCCGCGCGTCCCCTTGTGGCGTATGGAACGTTTTTCAATATGAGTGGCTCTATATAAATTAAATCTGTTACACTGCCATTTTACTACAATTTTCTGACGTGAAATTCTGTCTCCGTTGATGCAAGCACAGCTAAAGAAGGCTGAAGGCAACAAAACCTCTGACTCATAAATAACATGCTCTTTTTTTAACTACCTAACAGCTTATAAGTGGTTTTTCCATGCCGTTTTCAGATTGGGTGTTTTTTTATAGTTTTCGTTCATCGCGTGGTATACAAACGCAGGGCGCTATGTCTGAAAGATATCCACCCATCGTCGAGGGCACCTAACGAGCTTGTAATAGAAGTTGTTTGTAGGTTTATACAAAGATAATTATAGTGACCCAGATTATCGCTCCTATAGTATGCAAGACAAATGAAAGATTAAGTAGACTGAAGCAGACGTTTTCTTCTCACTGCGTTCTGTGTTTGCCGCTGATTTTTTATTCATTTTGACAATGTACCAACAAGCCCAGCTCAACGCCTTGGTGTCATTTATCTTCGACGTTTCGACGAGCTGGTGTGGTAAGTTATAGCCGGCCTCGGGACCACCCTATACTTCGTTTGTTTCTCCTTCCTCCGGGTCAACAAGATGGCGAGTTGGGCTAGTCGATAACTCTCGTGTTTGAAGATGTGTTGGAAACGCGCTGAAGATGCGGATAATGGAAGTGAACCGGACTGTGTTTGCATCTCACGACTGATTCTATAGTAGTCGGAAAAGCCATATATGAAGCAGATACGTGAAACTACACAGATGCGTAGTTTCACCAATCTGTGTAGGGGGCGTTGTAATGTATGTTGCGCGTCTGCGTTCACGCATCTGCATGTGTAGGGGGCGTTATGTATGTTGCGTCCAGCAAAGCAGGACGCAACATACATAGCGATTGTATCTAACAGCGCAAGAAAGGACAGGAAAGAAACACAAACAAGTGCTTGTTCGTCTTGTCCAAAAAATTTCATTGTTAAAACATGTTAGGAATCAGGTTTACCACAACATTTTTACGTCACATATTGTTTATTAGTTATTGCTTTTACAGTTAAGAGCCTTTGGTTCGCATTACCGTAGCTTATTATTTCAATAGCGAAGCTTGCTGGTTAAGTTAATGAATCATGATGCTAGGAACAGCGCGAGCTTGTAAAGTACAGGATAAAGAAGGAACACACGTCGTCTTGTGTGTTCCCCGTGCTTCACGTTGTTCCTTGTTCTGTGGCGTCCATTCGACACACGTCGCTTTCAAAGACCGCCGCTCATTGTCAGCGTTTGTTTTGCGCAGGCGAGGCCTCGGCATCGGCATTGGTGGCGGCAGCTTCCGCGGCTTCCTGCTGCGGCGGCGGCGATCGGCCAAGGAAGGCGCGGCGGCGGCGGCCGGTCCCGGCGGTGCGCTGGCTTCCTCGCGCCACCCGCAGCAGCCGCCCGTAAGATGCGCCACCATGAGCAGCATCGGCAGCGTGGGCCGCAACGGAGGCCCGATGGCCAACGGCCTGCCCGGAGGCGTCAAGAAGGACAACTCCTCGCCGGCCGTGGCCTCGGCCAACGGCGGCACGGCCAACGGGCCCCTGCTCGAGACCACCACGGTCAAGAAGGGCCTCCTGTGGCAGCAGTGGGACAAGTTTTTCAGTCGCTGGAAGGAGCGCTACTTTGTGCTCACCAAGGACTACTTGGCGTGCTTTAAGAAGGAATCCAAGGTCGGAACCTCCGAGATGGGTGGATTCCTTTACAAGGTATATACAAGCCTATCTCCAAGCAATGCTGCGGAAGACGAGGTATATGTGACTGACTACATACGTATGCCTCTCACTGATTCAGGTGAACTTGGCAGACGTGGAGGGGCTGCAGTGGGCCGACAAAAAGCGGACGGGAGTTATCGCCCTTCGGGTGGGCACCGAGGGCCAGCTCCTGCTCTGGACCAACTGCGGCCTGGACGACTGGATGTTCGCCCTTAGAGACGCCATCGGTCGGAGCAAAGGGCGCAGAGAGGCCCTCCGCAAGGCGCATACGCTCGGTCCGCAGTTCTACGACTCGGGACTCACCAAGAGGTCAGTCGCTTTCACAATGAGAACGCATGCATGCGGGTTCTGCCCGTCGGGATGAAGGTTAGAACCCAAAAAAAACGGGTAAACCTAGCGACAGGCATGTACAATTTTCTGCGCTCTGAGTTACAAATATATGATATATTGGTATGACGACACGACAGTGCACGTAAGGGATGAGAGAAGGAACCTAGCAGTGCATATGAGTGGTTTGCTATGACCTGATCTCGAAGATTGGTGGTGCAATGATAACTAATGGTATAGAAGAGTAATGAACTGTGAATTGAGTGCACAAGCCACGCGCACTGAACGAGACGTACATCATTAAGTGTTCAAAGCAAGAACTTCTCCTCTTTCTCGTCAGTTTGCTATCCGTTTGTCCTGAGTAATTTCCATCTCGCTCTCTCTCTATCAACTTTGACTTATGAGTTTTGCGAGAATATGTAAACGCGAAGTGTCAAATACCGAGTAGCTCAATCTGAATTTATTTTCTCGGGGTGAGACGGGGCTTCAGCCCATATACGTCGCACCATAAAGACTCGGATAGGTCTATCCACATTGCGACATCATTTTCTATGCGTCGCAAAAGCTAGAAAAGTCCCGACAGCTCGCGTCTCGCGAAGCGAAGCAATATGCTTGCTCCATGCCCCGATGTATGCGAAATAGATTGCCAGTCGAGCTGGCGCACGTCGCTCACCCGGCATTATAGGGTGCGTTAAGCTCTTTTCTTTTCACGAAACATTCAATCCCGCACTGTTAGAGCCATATATCCACGTCGCTAGCTACTGTCACAGTGGGGGCTTTGTGAGACTCGCAATTGTAGCGGACGTCTAATCCATCCTTACCCTGGGTCGCCGACACGGCCGGGTCAAGAAAACATGTTCGTCGCCGCAACGCTACCTTGCAATAACGTTGCAACATCGCGGCGGGGTATTCCATACAGGGCGGCTGCTGCCTATTGCAAGGAGGGACGAAAAAAGCTCGAAAGCGTAAGAAGAGAAGCACGACGTATGGGAGTTTGCCAACAAGGTTTGTGCACTGTGTCGCCATCGCGCCTCTTCTCAATCCTTCTGCCAAAACCGCGAAGTTCCAAACTCGACAGTGTTGCGAGAATCGTGGCTTGGGAGACGGAGAACGAAACAAAAAAAAAAGGGGGGGGGGAGAGAATGGCTTGCATGATAAGAAGGTTGTGCCAACATTGCCGCAAGAGCTCCCGACGCTTTTTTGCATCGCGTATTTTTTTATTTTATCTTGAAATACAATCTGTGCTCCGAACCTTTTGTTCGAAATTTTCAATCAGAGCTTTTTTGAAAAACGCTGAAAAGATAACCGGATGGCACGACGTGTAATAGTATACATCGTTTTGTTGAAGTATAACCGAGCAAAAGGGACGTGATGAATCGGGCCAACAAGATTTATGGCGTTTTCGAACTCCAAACCAAGCGTTTTGCTTTTTTTTTCTACTTTGAATGCATATGAAAGGCGACATCAATCACGTAGTTAGCTAACCGGATCGCTTTTGACGTTTTAGTGCGCAACGTACATTACTCATGCGGAATTCGCACGCCACGAGTAAAAAATATCTGACGAGAGTAGGAAAACCAGACGCGGCATATCAACGGGATGTCGACAGATAGTTAGCATGCCATTATCAGAGGTCCGCGATGTATGCCGATGTTACTTTATGCAGGCCGCCGTCAGACGTGGCGACATCCAAATTTCGACGTGTCGTTTCACGGTAGCGATTGCAGATGAAAAAGAAATAGTTCGAAGTATAGGAGTCGACACAATTACAGATAAGTCATTTATTATAGAACAGTGACAGAATATCTCCAAAACTGACGCTTCCCTTGCCTCGCAACGTCTCGCTCGGTCAGACAACGAACAGCATTTGCATTTCTGGCTGTGGGCAGTGAAGTGCACGGCAGACCGTGTTCAGCGTCAGCTGTTTTACTTACACGTGTCTCAGCGCAACTGTTCGCAGCGTGAAATGTAACACTTATGCATCTGGACGCTAGCTATCGTTCAAAAGGGAGCTATACGGCCATTAAGAAAAGAATCAACTGTGAGCAGGTCGTATTCCGAAAATGCGGCGTTGCTCGCTGTTGGCTAATACTCTCGCTTGTCTCGCAACTTGGCATACGACAGCTGAGAGGGTTCTTGGTTCGTGAGAAACTTGAGGGCATCGCTTAATGGGCTTGTCTGCATGTATTGTTCTTTTTTTTTCGTTTGTTTGTTTCCTGTCTGAGTGTGTGTGTGTTTGCGACACTCCCGCAAACGTAAACGTGCAGCCATCATGCGAGAACAATAGCTTTCCAGAGTAGTTAATCACTGTTTGCGTGGCGGTGCGTTGTCTAACGACATGCGCAACGGTGCACTTGGACCAATGTGCGCTCGTTAAAGAGCGCCTGTTTTGAGCTTTCAGACGTCACATGGGAACGTTTGGCTGCTGAGACAAGACACGTCACCGTTTTTTTTTTCTTCTTGCTCCTTCACTTTGGCCTCACCTGCGCAAGCTGTTACTCTTCTACGGTAGAATACCAAGTAGCCCACAAAGCCATCCTCGTGAATGTTCCGATGATCATGTGCACCCTCAAGTTTTGATTCTATATATATGCTGGAGACGTCTGACCGAGGGTTTCGGTAATACAAAATAATACTAATTATTGCGTGCTGGCAATTAACGCTTTGAATGCACTTACGCTCCGCAAGTCGAACGTACAGCTTTCAACATGTATATATACGTCATAAGGCAGCAACGCATATCTTTCAACATCTACACGTCATAAGTCAATAAACACCTACAACACTCACCCCGGTGCTGTATGTACTACAACGTATACCTCACCTGCCATCCTAGACTTTTACAACGCTACCGTGAGAGCTCTTTATTTGATGTTGCGACTCACTTAAGTCAACATCGTTACGTCGTCTTCGTTCTTTTGTACGCTATCGCGTGCGTGTCCACGCAGGTTCGTGCTTGCGCCTCGCTCCGCTTTTCTCGCCCCAACGGCACGTCATAACAGCCGCCTCCACATCCAGTGGCTCGACGACCTCGTTCATCCACCGCTCATTCGGCGGGCCTTGCACGGAATGCGGTGCTACAATGCCGCACGCGATGTGCCAGCTTTAGCAAGATGAACCTCTGCGCAAGCACGGAAGATCGAAGCTACATGCGCTGCCGTCGTGTCAGGATGGATGACGCACGTTCACGACGATTTTTTGACCAACCGACCGACCCATAATTGAGGCAGTGCAGGCTTGCATATGAGTTCCTTATGCGCTTCCAAACGCGTGAATGCGAGGCCTCAGTAGAAATCCTGCAGCTTTAACTTCCACGAACGGCGTCCACTTGAGTACGCAGTGAGAGTAGATGAAAGAGATAAAGAAAGAAAGACAATTGAGGCTTGTAAATGACTAATATATGGACGTTTTCGTTTTTCTCGGGGTAAACAAAACGACATAGCGATAATAGTAAGCAGATTGAACAATAGCATAACCCCGCACGTACACATGACAGTACGCGTAATCAATAAGTTTGTAAGCGGTCATTGGTACTCGCTGCCATCAAGAACGCGGTGCATGCTTTCGTTGACAATCGTCAATTAACTCCAGCTCACTCTTTATGCCGCCGAGTGTCTTAATATCTTTATATCCTGCAAGTTTCATCCGCTTGACAACTGCGAACAAAACTGTTACCTCTGCTGACGCGACACTCGCATCCATAACTAAAAATTACGCAGGCGATAACAGCGTTAGAAGGTACTGAAGAGATAGTTGGTTGCACACGTAATGTGTGAGACAGAAGTGAGATGAATCGGAGCAGAACCACGCGCAACAAAGGCGCTGGACTTCAAGCGCTGTAGTTCTCTGTTAGCGTGTGATTTTGTTCATCTTTGCCTGTCAAATGTGCATTCCTGTTTTAAAGCAGATGGCAGGCCGGTCCCTGGGGAACCTTGGTGGCTGGTTAAGCGTCATGCAGCTTCCCCTCGTTTCGTCACTTGTCTGTTATTGCTATCGTAACCCAATTTCGCTCCAATGGTACCGCTCACAATGTTTGAATATTGTATACACATTGCATAGACCTGTCTTGTATTTACAGGTCTATGAAAGGCATGCAGACCTGTCTGAACGTTGTGTAGGCCTGTGTAGTCCTTAATTAAATAGACCTTGTACAGGTATGTGGACCATGTAGTAGACAGAGCCAGCTATTAGTGAAATTTCTTGCGCTAGAATAGTTCGAAAGAAAAAAAAACCGAGATAGTCCTGGTGCTAGACATCTGATTTTAGTGAAGCGAGGTGGTTAGACAACGGCGAATTGTAGACGCGAAAAAAAAAATGTGAATGGGGTCTTAGAATTTCGTACCGTCGCGCAAAGCGTCTAGAGCACGTGCTGTTCATCTCGACCTCATTCACTGGCCATCCGTGCAGCCCGCACTCGGCTGTGATTACGAGAGAGCCGACGACAAAGTCATGGCGACCGAAGGATGGCGATAAGTGTACGTGACGATAAGAACAGGCTTAGAGTCATCGCGGCTGATCTTCCATTATTTCGACCACTTACCTCAGTCCCGGTCAAAACGCGGTCGTCCCCGGCGTAGGTTCAGTTTCTTGTAGTGCATCTTCAGAAACCCAATTGACGTGTTCCTAACATAAACATGCAATCGATGACTTCACGTTCTCGCCAGCATCGTCCCGCAGCCGCAAGTTTGTCGCCTCTCTCTCTCTCTCTCTGTAAAATCTCGCCCTATTACCGTCGGGACCGTCCCGCCCTTCGTGATAGCGGTCTCAAACTTTTTTCCAGTTCATCAAGATATAATCGCTTTATACGCACGCGATGATCGTCAATATCAAGACTTCATCCGTCAGCATAGTCACTATACAGCGCTTATCAGGCAAGAATGGGGGGTCCCGGCGTGGTATTACGTGTTGCTCTTTGATATGAGCACGCGTGGAAGCACGCAATGCTGAATTTAGGCGTGTACCAACTATATATTCTGGTCATC